CAGGAGTGACAATTACCCAGGTGTCCAAACAATACCTGGACCACAATACAGAATGCCACCCCTGTATGGCGAAGAACAAACCAACCAGAATCAGCAGCCGAGTTTACAAACCCACAGCAATAAATTCCCGGTAATTAATTCCCCCATTTCCCCCTTCCCCAATTTTCCATTCCTCCATTCCCCAAAAACTCTTCCAACAAAATGAGTGTTAAAGATCAATTAAAATAACAACAAATTAATAACAAAATAACCACAGATTTCACTCGCTCAATCTCCGATAATTAATTCATGAATTCAACAGGAATTATTTCAACTAAAAAATGACCGATTATTATTATTTATTATATTATATTAATAATAGTTATTGTCTGCGAATGACTGAGTATTTTTTTCTTCCTGATTTCACAAAGCCAGAAGTGACAGGAATACTTCCTCAATTTTCCAGAAATTTTTCTCAAGAATAAATAACCCATCAGCCACTTGTGGCCCAGATTGTCTTCGCATTATGATTGCAAGAACAATAAGAACAATTGTTGACGTTTCATAACGCCAACACGTATCCATCATTTTATAATTACCTCAAATGTAGAAAGAGGTCTTGAGGCACGCGTACGGTGCGTAGTAATGTTGGAATGCATTATTGTTTACTACGACTGGTGAAATCTCACTTCATCGTGGGTTTGTTTGAGATATGGTACAAGGGATTGTTACGATTCTTGGGAATATTCTCAGGGGGACTATCACCTCGATGTATGTCTGCCTGATCCTAGAGTACAGAGACAAAGACCAGGTGGTTATATGACTCGGTGTGTTTTACCGTTTACCGGAAGCTTGACTCGCTAGCTGTTTCCAAGTAAATCGACATTTTTTCATCCAAGTAAATCGTCATTTTTTCATTCAAGTAAATCGTCATTTTTTCATCGAAGCAAATCGTCATTTTTTCATTCAAGTAAATGGTAATTTTTTCATCCAAATAAATCGTCATTTTTTAATTCAAGTAAATCGTCATTTTTTCATCCAAGTAAATGGTAATTTTTTCATCCAAATAAATCGTCATTTTTTCATTCAAGTAAATGGTAATTTTTTCATTCAAGTAAATGGTCATTTTTTCATCCAAATAAATGGTCATTTTTTCATTCAAGTAAATGGTCATTTTTTCATCCAAATAAATCGTCATTTTTTCATTCAACTAAATGGTCATTTTTTCATTCAAGTAAATGGTAATTTTTTCATCCAAAAAATCGTCATTTTTTCATTCAAGTAAATGGTAATTTTTTCATTCAAGTAAATCGTCATTTTTTCATTCAAGTAAATGGTAATTTTTTCATGCAAGTAAATCGTCATTTTTTCATTCAAGTAAATCGT